GGCCATGGGGTGAGAAGGACGATGGGGAAAGCGAGGCCTGCGTGCGTGCGCGGCGCCGCGGAGAGAGGGGTTGAGAGGGGGAAGAGGTGGAGGAGAGCGATATGCAAGAGATGTACATTCCGAAGGGGCGGAGACAAGGGGGGACCGGCATGAGGGTTGGGGATTGAGGACAGAGCAAGACGGCCGTGAAAGGGAGCATGGTCCTCCCTGTACAGGCTCTCCCGCACTTTCCTGGTACGACGATGTACAAAAGCTAAGGTGCCGTCTTGCTCGACAATTGTTTAGGACCAGCGAAGACGCACGGAGGACACGCATTGCTGGAAGCGAAACAAAGCGTTGAAGATATCCACAGGCTCTTTACTTTTCTCCGCGCTGTCTCCCTTTATCCTCCCTTCGTAGGCCGCTGACGCCATCCCCCAGGCGGCACCTTTCGGACAGTGCCGAGCACAGCTTCGCACATATGTACATTTTCCCTCCCCGATCTGGCCTCCCTCTTCCCCTCCGTCACCCGAATACACCTCCCATCGGCTCTTGTTAGCCACCCTCAGAAATATTTCCCTTCCACGCTCATCACTCCCCTTCCATCCTCATCGCGATCACGAGAGCTCGTCTTCCACGCGCAGGTACTCGCCAACGTCCCCTTGGTGCAGCACCACGTTGGCCCCAGGATCCAGGTCTTTGCACACGTCCGTGGGCTGTGCCGCAACCCCGAACCCCAGGGGGATGTCCGTCATGGAGTACACCACCACACCCGCGTACTGGGGGATCCCTTCCGTCATCCTCCCCAGGCCGGACTTGATGATGTTGTTGCCGTATAGGAACCCCATCTCACTTTGCGGCTTCACCCATACCTTGTAGGATGCGTACTGAGCCAGGTAGTCCAAGAAAGTGATGTAGATATGGAATTTTTCCGACTGTGGAAGGTTAGGAAGCCAGAGGGCACGGCATCACGGTGTTAGGGGTTGATTGTCAATCCAATCGTAACGGGGAAACCATTCTCAGTCGACAGACACGTAGAACGAGAGAAAGGCGAGAAGTGGCAAAAAATGGCTACCTTCGTAAAGCGTCCCACGCACGTCCCGATTGATAGCAAGTGCTCCCGGCCAAAGTTTGTGGCGATTTTCATCATGCGTTCGCTCACGTAGTAGACCCGCTGGTCCATGTACCGGAAGCAATACCGTTCATCCGGGCGATTGACAAGCTGCTCTAAATTGCCACCGACGCTTGAAGGATCAAAAAAGCAAGCGGAAGAAAGTCGAATACAAAGAGGAAGTGGGATGGATTAATAGGAGAAAGGATTCGGATGGCAGGGCCGTGTACTTACTACTTTGCGAGGCGTTCAAAAACCTTCCGGGTCTCATCTTCCGAAAGAGGACGCATGTGTTCAACCTTTTTTCAATCCAAAAGTCGTGGTCGTACAGTGTTACCAAATATAAACTGATGCAAGACTTGAAGGCTAAGGCGAGGGGATGAGGAGGTCGACTAAACCGAAGCGCCTGTCTAGAAAACGTTTATCGGACGAAAGGCAAATAAATGACATCACAAGGCTATAATCTCACAAATTCAAGAAATAATGTGATGGAAGGGTGCCTGTAAATGTGCGATCGGCCATCGCAACGACAAAAAGGCGCCACATTGGATGATATTCCTGAGCAGAGCGGGTCTGGTCAGAAAGGGGCGATGGGTGGCTGGAGGCAAGAATGAAGGCGCCATGTCTTTATATGGCCCTCTTTAAAAACCAAAAATCACTCAAATCAAAATCATACCTGCATAAAGGATCGACCATGTCCTTAATTTCTGCTGTAGGCTCGTGGTTTTCATTCTGTGTGCATCCCTCTTCCTATCCATTCAGCTTTGTGGATTCCCCTACAGCAACAAGAGGCAGTGGATACTAAATAGTTGGCTCCATTTCACGCCTTCACACGCCCACTTTCACGACAACTTGCCGCCACCATATAAGATATCGAGATTAACGTCCTAGCTAGGTACGTTGGTTTCATGAGTGCGTAAATGCTGTTGCGATTTGAATCAGGCATGCGACAAGAGATGAGATACGCAGGAGTCACTTGCAACATCATGTTGTACACCCTTGATCTGGGCAAGTTCTGGCCACTTTGTCAATGGCATAGCGCTTAATCGATCAAAAATAGCACGGGGAGAAGAATATCGCGATCATTTGGTTGCCGTTTCCTCTATTACGCCTTTGGGGGGTCCACGGTTCACGATCGTCGAGACACACCATTTTCCCTATCCGGCCTGAGCGCCATGTCGTCTGTGTTGGGCTCCTGTTGACAGATAACGTAATACGTAGCATTTGTTACTTTGATCTGATTGTACGGACAATCTTGTCTCTGCTGGGAACCTGTTGACAAATATCGTACTGCACAGAGTATGTCATTCCCATCTTATTGCTCTTTCTTTCTTGGCCATCCGCACAGACCCTTATCAGCAGACGATGGTCAAGAAAAAGGGAAAATCCAAGCGTGTGACATTCAAACAGAAGTACAAGATCGAACGACGGGTAAAAGAACACAAGCGCAAGACTAAGAAAGAAACACGGCGCCGGGCCAAGCTCGGTCTTCCTCCTCTCGGGATTGGGCAACGCAAGAAGGAAGTGAGCATTCCCAACGCCTGGCCGTTCAAAGAACAGCTTCTCGAGGAGCTCGCGACGGCCAAACGGAACAAGGAAGCGGAGGACGCCAAGAAGAAGGAGGAAGCGGCGTTGCGACGGAAGCAGAAAGGTTTGGTAGGAAAAGACGTGGCAGACTTGGTGACGCAGGCGGCCGCGGCCCAGGCCACCTTTGCCTCCCAAGGGCCCGGCACGCTTTCCCTGGAAGAAAATGGCGTGAACGACATGAAAGCTTTGGGGCAACAGAGCCGACGGGCATTTATCCGGGATTTGAAAGAAGTGGTGGAGCAGGCCGACGTGGTCCTGGAGGTCCTGGACGCCCGAGACCCGTTGGGTTCCCGGGGGGAGGGGGTGGAGGAACTGATCCTCCGAAAGCCGAACAAGAAACTAGTCCTAGTCCTGAACAAGGTCGACCTGGTGCCAAGGGAAGTGGTGGGGGCGTGGCTGGCCTACCTTCGCCGTTTCCATCCCACCGTGGCTTTTAAATCCGCCACCCAGGAGCAACGGGTGCAGCTCGCCCAGCACGGTGGGGACGCGTCCAAGGCAGGGGCCAACCTCCTCTCCCGCAGTGGCTCCGTGGGCGCCGAGGCTTTGCTGCAGCTTTTGAAAAACTACTCGCGGTCCCTGGACATCAAAACCTCCATCAGCGTGGGCGTGGTGGGCTACCCCAACGTGGGGAAATCCTCCCTCATCAACTCCCTGAAACGGACCAAGGCGGCCGGCGTCTCCTCGACCCCCGGATTCACCCGCTGCATGCAGGAAGTGCAGTTGGACAAGCACATCAAACTGTTGGACTCCCCGGGCATTGTGTTCGACGATTCGGACGTGGAGGGGGTTCTCCTTCGGAATTGCGTGAAGGTAGACAGCCTCCCGGACCCCTCCGCGGCCGTGGGCGCGCTCTTGCAACGCTGCGAGGCTCAGGACTTGATGATGATATACGCCTTGCCCGCCTTCGACGCCACCGACGTCCAAGGCTTCCTGGCCCTGCTGGCTCGGAAGATGGGGAAGCTCTTGAGGGGGGGGGTCCCGGACCGGACGGCGGCGGCGCGGGTCTTGCTCCAAGATTGGAACACGGGCAAGGTCCCTTTCTACACGAAGCCGCCGCCTCTGCCCTCGTCCCGGGTGGACGAGGAAGCGCAATTGGTGGGCTCGTTGGGCACTGCTTTCGAGGTCGGCTCGGTGTTGGAGGAGGGCGATGCCAAGGTGATAGTTAACCATAAAAATAGACCCG